CCGCCGCATCCACGACCAGGAGAGGGAAATAACAGGTTGGCTCTGTTCTCTTCACTCAGGTTTTCTACTTCATGTTACCCTCTAAAGCAACACTCTGCTAATTGGGCTAATTTGCCTTCATTTGCATTCCTTTTTAGCTTAATAGTTTCATTTCTTTCTTTTACAAATTGACATGTATCAGAATTTTATTTATTTACTGTTGGGAGTTTCCGTGAAGTTGTAACAGTTTGGGGTGTTTTTGGTGAGGGTGACTGTCACAGAGAAGGCTCTGATGTGAGGTTCAACCTCATGAGATTCAAGAAGGCAATGTGCAATTGCAGACCAGAAGGCCAACTTCATCCTGGGCTGCATCAAGAAAAGCGTGGCCAGCAGATCAAGAGAGGTGTTTCTTCCCCTCTACTCTGCCCTGGTGAGACCTCACCTAGAATACTGCGTCCAGCTCTGGAGTCCCCAACACAAGAAGGGTCCAGAATAGGGCTACAAAAGTCACGCAAGGGCTTTAGCACCTCTTTTATGAGGACAGGCTGAGGGACTTGGGGTTGTTCAGCCTGGAGAAGAGAAGGCTCTGGGGGAGGCCTCATACCAGCCTTCCAGTACCTGAAGGGGCTACAAGAAAGCTGGGGAGGGGCTTGTTACAAGGGCTTGTAGTGAGAGGACAAAGGATAATGGTTTTAAACTGAAAGAGAGATTTAGGTTAGAGATCAGGAGAAAATTCTTTAGTATGAAGGTAGTGAGAGACTGAAACAGGCTGCCCAGAGCAATTGTGGAAGTGCCATCCCTGGCCAGGTTGGATGGGGCTCTGAGCAGCCTGATCTAGTGGGAGGTGTCCCTGCCCATGCAGGGGGTTGGAACTAGATGATCTTGAAGGTCCCTTCCAGCCCAAACCATTCTGTGATTCTATGATTCTAGAATACAGTTTGTCCTGCAGCTCTTACAGCTCCTGTCACTATGTAGACAGCAGCCAGGCAAGCACAGTGAAGGCTGTGATGGGGGCAGCTGTCATGAGGAGGCTCAGTGTGCTTGAGGCTCCTGTTTTGCTTTTTCCTTAACGTAGCGCTGTGCTGGTGCCCCTTCCTTCACCCTCCTGAATTACTACTGCAAGGTATTCTCATAATAACCAGCTTAACTGAGTGAACCCTTCTGTGTTTACCACAATAATGCTTTGGTCCTTCATATATTTGGCTTAATGTTTGCCCAGAGAAGCACAAATGCCAAACAGCAGCTTCAGACAGCACACACCTTCACCATCTGTGTTCCTGGTGCAGGCACACGCCTGTACCTCCAGGAGGGGTGCATGGTAGGTAGAACTGGAGTTCTCACTTGGAATTCCTGTTCTCCTTGGCAGAGACAATGGAGAAGAAGTTCCTGGAGGAAACAAAACAACTGGAGCTAGATCTGAATGATGAACGGTTACGATACCAGAACCTGCTGAATGAGTTCAGCCGTTTGGAGGAGCGCTATGATGACCTCAAGGATGAAATGAACCTAATGGTGGTAAGTGGCTGCACAGCTGAGAAATCAAATGCTCACAAATGTTTTTAGGCAGAATCTAGTGGTATAAGTAAGTAACTGATTCTGCTGTCAGCTGTGTGGCCATGCTTTTGAATATTGATTAATGAGATTTGCTCAGCAAAACAAATACATTCACATTTTGTAGTTTATTTTTTTTTAAATGTTATTATTATTTTCACAGTTGTGAAGAAGGCTAAATTTCTGCTGTGACTTTGCTAATGGTATTCACTTGCCATGCCCCCTTATTTTGCCCTGAAGTTATTCAGATGTGCTAGGGCTGTTTTCACCACATTCACGCAGCGTTAAATTTTAAGTAGTTCTAATATTTTAGTATTTTAGTATTCTAATATTTTATGTGGCAGGAAGAAAAAATATTCCTCAAAAAAATGTCTGGGAAGTTAGAGAATTGCTTCCTGTAAACTGAGCTTTTCTTTACCACCAAATGCTGTGTTATGGCTCGATGCTGCTTTCTGGAGCAGTATTGATGGTGTAGGATCTGGCTGTCTCCATAGATTTGATTGTGAACTACATCTCAGAGGCTTTGGGTGGCATGAGAGACCAGGATAAAAAAATATTTTCTTACAAATGTTGATAGCTATGAAATAACACCAAATACTACAAACTAAAGTGTAGGTTGTGAAAAGACAGTCACAGGGAAAACCATATAGTGGATCTGCTTCATAGGGTATCATGGGACAGAGCCCTGGGGGGCAGAGGAGCCCAGGAAATCTATTCCATATTAAAAGATCACCTTTTCCATGCCCAGAAGCAGAGTGTCCCAACAAAGAGAAGAGGAGGCAAGAATGCCTGTGTGGATGAGCGAGGAGCTCCTGGACATAGTTAAATGTAATAACTAGGGAGGAGAACAGAGAAGTTGTCAGAAAAAACAGGGATCTGGTTAGGAAAGCCAAAGCACAGAGAGAATTGAATCTGGCCAGAGATGTTAAGAACAACAAGAAAGGTTTCTACAGGTATGTCAACAATAAGAGGAAGACTAGGGAAATGTAGGTCCACTTTAGAAGGAAACTGGAGACCTGGTCATGGAGGACATGAAGAAGGCTGAGGTACTCAACTACTTTTTTGCCTTGGTCTTCACTGGCAAGGAGTCTTTTCACACCACTGAAGTTCCAAGAGGCAAAGGCAGAAACTAGGAAAAGGAAGATTCTCCTACTGTAGGAAAATAGAGGATTTGAGACCACATAAAGAACCTGAAGGTACACAAATCCATGGGACCCAATGGGATTAATCCATGGCTCCTGAGGGAAATGGCCAATGAAGTTGCAAAGCCTCTGTCCATCACACTTGAGAAGTCATGGCAATCTGGTGAAGTTCCCACTGGCTGGAAAAGGAGAAACTTCACCCCCATTTTCAAAATGGAGAAAAGGAAGAGCTGGGGAACTACAGGTCAGTCAGTCTCACCTCTGTGCCTGGCAAGATCATGGAGCAGATCCTCCTGAAGGCTCTTCTAAGGCACATGAAAGATAAAGAGGTGATTGATGACAGCCAGCATGGCTTTACCATTGGCAAGTCCTGCTTGACAAATTTGGTGGCCTTTTATGGCAGAGTCACTGTGTCAGTGGACAAAGGGAGAGCGACTGATACTTGTGCAAAGTGTTTGATGCTGTCCCATGTGATATCCTGGTATCTAAGCTAGAACAAAATGGATTCAATGGATGGACCACTCTGTGGATAAGGAACTGGCAGGGTGGTCACATTCAGAGTTGTGCTCAATGGCTCAGTCTCCAAATGGATGAGTGATGAGTGGCATTGCTCAAGGGTTGGGACTGGGACTGGTGCTGTTTAATGTCTTTGTCCGTGACATGGACAGTGGATTGAGTGCACCCTCAGCAAGTTTGCTGATGACACCAAACTGCATTGGGGTCAAGGTGCTGGAGGGAGAGGAGGCCATTCAGGGGGATCTTGACAGGCTTGAGAGGTAGGCACATTCCAACTTCATTGAGTTCAGTAAGTCCAAATGCAAGGTCCTGCACCTGGGTCAGAGCAATTCCAAACACATATACAGGTTGGGTGCAGATGGGATCAAAAACAGCCCCAAGGAAAAGGCCTTGGGGTTGCTGGTTGTTGACAAGCTTGACCTGAGCTGGTACTGTGTGCTTGCAGCCCAGAAAGCCAGTCATGCCCTTGGCTGCATCAAAATCAGTGTGGCCAGAAGGTCGAGGCAGGTGACTTTTCTCCTCTACTCCACTCTCATGAGACCCCACCTGGAGTACTGCATCCAGTTCTGGAGCCCTCAACATAATAAGGACATGGATGTCTTGAAACAAGTTCAGAGGAGGGCCACAAAGATGATCAGCGGGCTTGAACACCTCTCCGATGAAGACAGGCTGAGAGAGTTGGGGCTCTTCAGCCTGGAGGAGAGAAGGCTCTGGCGGGACCTTATAGAGGCCTTCCAGTACCTTGAGGGTGCCTACAAGAAAGCTGGGAAGGGACCTTTTACAAGGGCATGTAGCAAGAGGACAGGGGGTTAAAAATGGAAGAGGCGACATTAAGATTAGACATTAGGAGGAAATTCTTCACTATGAGGATGGTGAGACACTGGCTCAGGTTGCCCAGGGAAGCTGTGGCTGCCCCGTTCCTGGAAGTGTTGAAGGGCAGGTTGAATGGGGCTTTGAACAACTTGGTTGGGTGAGAGGTGTCCCTGCCCATGCAGGGGACTTGGAACTAGAAGATCTTTAAGGTCCCTTCCAACCCAATTCTATGATTTGTTTCTCTTGCATTCTAGACCATCCCCAAGCCTGGACACAAAAGAACAGATTCAACTCACAGCAGCAATGAGTCTGAATATACTTTTAGCTCTGAGATCACAGAAGCAGAAGACTTACCATTGAGAATGGAGGTAATGCTGAAACTCCCACAACTTCTCGTTGACTAATGGTTGAACTTACTCCTATGTCTTTTTTTGTATGTGCTTGTGAGCACCATATCCCTATATGGAGATATCTAATGCTTCAATCCCAACTTTTTCCATTTCCTTTTTGGAAACAGCTCATTCTGTAGTTCGTTGTGGTCCTGAGTAAAATGCCTTTGGGAAAGTATGCTCTGAATTCTTCTCTATTACAGTAAAAATAGACAAGATACTTGGCTGTCCAGTTGATTTGCATCTGTAAAACATTTACTTGACAGTGTTTCTAAGCACAATCACTTTTCCAGCACAAAATGGGAATTCAGAAAACTAGTGAGATTTCCTGAGAAGTCTGCTTACTGTATATTCAGGAGTTAAAGGGGCAAGATTGCTGGCCACATTCTTAGTAGCTGCATGAAATGAGTTCTTTGTCAGAGGTGAGAACCTCATGTTGATTCATTTTTCCTCTGTTTCACAGAGGCAACTAAAACTCAGCCTGTGTACTAACCCTTTGTATATGCAGTGATACAAATCCCAGGATATTTAAACATTTTCAGAAAGGTGACTCTCTTGATTCAGCTAATGAATGATACTAATGAGTAATTTGTGGTGCAACTTGAAGCCATTCTTAGTGTTTTCCAACATAACTCCCTGTTTGGTCCCGCCCAAAGAAGTGGGACAGCAGAGGAGCAGAGTGTTGGCAGGTTTTAGTCTGACTGTCCTTGGCAGGCTGCATATACAGAGCATTCCAGAGTTGTTCTTAACTGTCAGCTATCACATGGCTCTCCCTGTTTGTCCCCTCTCAGTTATCTCCACAGTGGCTTTTTACAGATTCTCTTTAATGTTTTTGAAAGCCTCCAAAAATAATTATTTTCTTCTTTGGGTGCAAATACCCTGATCCATTGATGCTGACATATATTCTAGGTGGACTCTTTCATAGTTTTTTTTCCCACTTACGTCTATGATTGTTTCAGAAAGTTGCTCCTACCTTCATGGAAAATCAGGAAAAGGACAGTGCAACTACATGTGGTTGGATTTCATGTGCCAGCCAAATGTGATCTTTTCCTTTGACTGATAGACTTCCTGAGTTGCTGTCCTAGAGCCAGTTTTGGTTTTTAGAATATAAACGAAAAAGAAAATAACTCACACAAGAGTGTGTATAAATGCAGCACTGAAAAGATTAAATCTGTATTTGTTTAACCTCTTAAGATTGAAAACTCTGGTTTGACTCTAGACTAACAATATAGATTAATGATACAAAACCACATTAAAAAGTAGGGTCCATCTCAATATCTCAATACAAACCAGTAAAGCCAGAAAACTCAAAGTCTCTTTTCTTTTTCCTGAGCTGGTGTGGTTTATGACTCTCCCCTCAATACTAAAAGGAGATGAAGTGGAAATGGCTATGCTTGCTTGTCTGCTACAGTCATTAATATTAATTTCCTAGTTCCTTTTATAGACTTCAAAATTTCATGGTGCATTTCATAGTAAATGCTTTGATCTTCTTGCTACATAAAGTACAAAATGGCTGAGGGAAAATTTCTGATGCACCTTCAGATCACAAATGCTGCCCTTGCTCAGAAAATAGTGAGAAGCTGGTGGATTAGGTACAGAACATGCTGCATAGTTAGAATAATAAAAGAAAAAAAATATAAAATGTATTTTCTGGTACCTGTTTATGCCACGTCCCACTAAATTAACCTTTAAATCTCCAATCAGCAGATAGATTTCTCTGTAGCTGAAGAAGTCATCATAGAAAATATTTTAAACTAAAAAAAAAAGCTTCTATGTAGTCTTTTCCAGGTGAGTCTAACCACAGACTTTTTTTTCTCCTTTCCCTCTTCAAACAAATAAGATTACAAGGTATGCTTAATTACAGACCTCCTGTCTGCTAGATAGTCTCTAGTGCTTTTTTTTTTTTTTTTTTTTTGCTAGGCTTTAGGCTTAGATACATTTTATACCAGTAGATCCTTTTTAAAATAGCGTTTGACAGCTGATGAGATATTTTAGGTGCCAATAGTCAACCCTCAGGATCAAGTAATGTTTCAGTGCTCCTCTCTTTCCCCAGTCTCTTTCCCAGCTTTACTCACTGCAGTGCTTCCTTGTGATGTGGAAGGGGGATGCTTCTTGACTTCTTTCTGTTCTTTCTAAAGCAGGAACCTACTGAGAAAAAGGCACCATTGGATATGTCTCTGTTCCTCAAGCTGCAGAAACGGGTTACGGAGCTGGAGCAAGAAAAACAATCCCTGCAGGATGAACTGGACAGAAAAGAAGAACAAGCTCTCCGTGCTAAAGCTAAGGTGGACTCCTGGCTGATCAAATGCTGCTGCCAGAGTATCTCTTCTGAAATAGCAGCTGTGTGAATGCTGACTGGATTTTACTAAATCCTCACCTTCCGCCAGTGCTTGCTTTATATAATGACAAGTTTTATGCCTGATGCTTAGTACTAGGGACTGGTTATTTAGTTTTCCAAGGTCCTTAAGATCCTCTGATGGAAGTTAACAGGAACAAAAAGTGCTTATTTTTTTTCCTTTTTTTTTTTTTTTTTTTTTTTTTTTTTTCCAAAAGCTGTTTGTTTTAAGGACTAGCAGTATAGAAACTCCACTTAAATTATTGGGAGAATGAGTAATTATTCATTTGAGGCAGAATATGAAGTATTTCAACCAGGATGCAGAGCCGAAGTGCTGGGATTAGCCATTTTAGCAGGTTTTATTTGAAATTCTCCTCTGATTTAGTCTCAAGTACTTGTAAAAATATGAAACAATTTTTTGGCAATTGTTTTTTATTACTATTCCACCAGTGAATTTCTTGAGCATCCTGGCATTCATCCTGCTCTGTTTCCTGACCAGTGACAGTGGTGTGATTTGGACATGATTTTATTTGTATTAACCTATTACGTGTCATAAATTTAGAAGTCAATGAAAGGAGGCAATGCCAATATTCAAACTAAAGCACTCAGCAATATCAGAATGAGTGTTTTCTAGTTCTATAGGAAAATAATTTCAGCTCCCTTCCCTTTTCCTGCCTCAAGTAAACTAAAGAATAGAAAGGAATTTATTTTTCACACTTGTCTGTATTCTTTCACAGGAAGAAAAAAGGCCTCCAATAAGAGGTGCAGAGTTGGAGTATGAGTCACTCAAGGTAATTCTAAAAAGGAGATTTCTGTTATTTCCTGGTAAGAACAAGGCCACCAACTGAATGCACTGGCATAGAAAATTACATCATCTCTCCTGTTTCAGAATATTAGATGAAGAAACCAGAAAAAAAATTCCCCTGCAATCATTTTGTTGTAGGGTGAGCTGTAGAATGTGTGGCTGGGGCTACAGAACAGAAAGACCCCCTAAAAAAGGGAGAGTTTTCTTTGCAAACACTTAGTACTGTTAATCTGAGCAAAAATACAGTGATAAATGTAGCCCTCTTTTCCAAACACATTATTCAAGTTAATGCATACCTTAGGCCACTGAAAAATAAGTAAGTCCTAATATCACTGAATGATGCAGAATCTCCTTAGCCTGCTGAGTGATATTCATTGTGCACTTTGTTGTTGTTGGGGGGAGAATAAGAGGGAAAAAAAGTTGTGGTTTTTTTCCCTATCAAACCTGTATGATACATGTATATGTGTTCTGATATTGAACTTCAGAGAAAAGGTTAGCCCTATTAGTGAAATCCTCCAAGTCACAACTCACCATAGTCAAGAGGCCAGGGACACAGGAGAGACTGATTTGCAGTTACTCATTGTTTTGACTGTTTCTATCCCTAGTTTTGTACCTGTGGTTTACAGGCACTTTGGGATGCTGCTGGGTGACAGAATTGTCCCTGTTTCTTGCAGCGTCAAGAACTTGAGTCTGAGAATAAAAAACTGAAGAATGAGTTGAATGAGCTGCAGAAAGCCCTCACAGAAACACGATCTCCAGAGGTAACTGCTCCTGGTGCCCCTGCATATAGAGTCCTCCTGGATCAGCTGACATCAGTAAGTGAAGAGCTGGAGGTACGCAAGGAAGAAGTTCTCATCCTGAGGTCTCAGCTTGTTAGCCAGAAAGAGGCTATTCAACCCAAGGTAAATAGTACTCAGAGGATGCACTGTGTAGTCAGGTTCCATTGCATCACTGCTGTGCTTGATTTAAATTAACAGCATGCTTGGAAAGGCAGAGTAAAATGGTCTTGTTTTGACAGCCTTTCTACCTGTGATCCATTGTTCTCTTGTCAGTGCACGAGTTGCAGCATCCAAATTGGGAGATTCTATTAATAAACCAATTCTGGGTTTGTCTACCAGCATTCATGTAAAGATACCATGCTGAGCACACCAGGCTGGCAGATACCAATGGTCTGGCAGGATCTCCCCAGACTCCTTTAACAATGCAGAAATAATTCTCACTTGGAGCAGGGTCATTTCTTCTAGTGAGTGTGTAGTTTGACTAGAAAGTTAACAATAGCTCTCAGGAATTCTTTTTGATTAAATAGTTCAGTATGAGGTACAATTTCTTCTGAGTCTGTGTGGGGTCATAGGTGATTGCAAATGAATAGCAATTCATAAAGATGACCTATGAAGATATATAAATTCCATATTATTGCTTGATAGGTGCTATGTGGTTTTGTTGAGAAGAGTAGATGATGAAATGCATATCTTCTAAAAGGTTCTAATTCTGATGAGATACTTAGGGGAGTAATGGCTTTGAAAATAAGAGTCATTCCACCTGAGAAGGTGTCACCTGCATCCAGGAACTAGTCATTTCCATTGAACTGGATGTTTCATAAGTGCAGCAAAGAAGGAACAGATATGTCATCTTTCCTTGTGCTAAATAAATAGGAAGTCTGTGATGTGTGAAGGTGTATGTACCTTGTTTTAAATGATTAATTATAAAGAAAACAAAACTTATTTTTCTGCCATATTTAGAACATTGTAAAGAAATACTTGGATAGTAAATACTAGAAAAGCTGATTATCAGCAATGGTGGGATACAAGTGTTTCTTACAGCAGTTATGATTATGAGGGAAGTGTGAAGGTGACCCGTGGGATGGCTAACAGCCAGTTTGCAGGTAGCTCCAGCTTGTTAGGTTGGACAGCTGCTGCACAGACAGATTTATTTTTTTTAAATGATTTGTTTTTCTTCTTTCTTGCCTACCAATCTGATTGCCAGGAGGATAAGGTACACATTTTCTTCTATAGTTATAAACCAGAACTCCTAAATGTTAAAAAGTCTGCAATGATACTTGAGCTGTCATTTCCCTGCTTTTCATCAGTGACCTACATGTATTTGAAGTTGTTCTTGCCCTTACTTTGCTGTTCTTGAAAATCCTTTCTCCCTTTCCTATGTCCTCCATGTCCCCATCTTCCCACTCCACACGAGGGAACCAAGTGACTTCAGAACAAGGAGATTGAACAGTTTTGAGCTGATGATTTATGGTAACCTGAACATGAAAGGAAAGTTTCAGAAATTGGTCTAGTCAGCTCAATCAATGTGTCTTGCCAAGCAGAAAAGTAAGAGCTGCACTGCAATTAAGGAATCAGATGTCTGTTAACTTGCAAAATCCATAAATTTTACCAAAAGAATAGTCTGTCATGAAGAACTACTTTACTGTTTGTTATCTTCATGCAACAAACATTCGGGACTCACTTTATGATCCATATGTATTAGGAATTGGTGAATGCTTGATTAGAAAATATAGTTGAACACACAATATTTTGGAGTATGAGAAACTGATTTTTTCTAAATTAAGGCAGTTAGTGCAAATATTACAACTACAGCAGGTAGGATATTCTTGGAGATATAAGAGTAATTAGCATTTCTTTTCATCAGCACAAAAAAAATGTTCAAACTGCTAAAGCTTGATTGATTGGCAGGTGAGATGTATTTACTGTGAAATAAAATAATAGTGGAAATATCATGAAGGTCTCATAAGGATGTTGGGAATAATTATTTAAGGAGCCTATATATTTTATTAATTTTCAGATTAGGGAACACGAATCATACTAGTCATAGAGACCTAGGCCTCAAAATTTATGTCCACAAGGTGGTTATTGTAAATATTTTGCAAAATTTTACTCTGGAAAATGGGATTTGATTGTTTTGAAAAGCAAAAAGACAAGTCAGAATTCCATCTCTTGTGTTCAGCAGAGCCTTGTGGTTCCACTCCAATTATCCACCACAGTGACTCAGGTCAGACTAGCTGAGGTGACTGTAAACATCTGTTAAGGATTTCAAGTTATACTGAAGGAGAAGCAAAAATGCCATAGGAAACATTTAAAACTAAAACAGAGTAGTGTTGTGATTATATCTAACTTTAAAAAATCTCAAGCCCTTGTAAATTAATTCTTACTTTCCCAGAGTACTTCAAATATATGTGAGGAATGGACCTTATTTATGATATTTGAAAGACTACATGTAATGCTGTGTTTAAAAATATTAATAGAATTAAGCTTGCAATATATGCTTCTTAATTTTCAGTATTAGCAGTTGTTTGTGGCAATTTGAAATCAAATGCAAATTCGCCACTTCATGAAATTGATCTTGTTCCTTTTACATGATAAAGACATGGAAAGAGGTTAATACTTGTACCCACTTATTAGGCAGACTGATGTCTGGCCATGTTGCATGCATTCATTTCAAAAGATACACCAAATGGACATGGAAATTATGGAACAACCTCTTGCTCAGGTACTCACAATAATTTTAAGGTGGCTACTCAAGGATTAGTGTTCCAAGTGAGTAAAGTGATGAAAACATGGATTCAGAGAATAATTACGTTGTTAAATTTACCCTGGAAATGCTCATTCTTTTTCCAGAACACCATGACAGATTCTACAATCCTCTTGGAGGATGTACAAAAGATGAAAGACAAAGGAGAAATAGCACAGGCATATATTGGACTGAAGGAAACAAACAGGTACAAGATCTCTTTCTTTAATCTATGATGAGTTGGGGTCTGCTGCAAATACACTCAGTAAGTTGCATCCATATAAGTCTAGATTCTTAGCAAGTGCTTGTAGTTTGGATTATAATGTGCTTTAATAAAATTGCTGTATACAGTGTTTGAAAGTATTAGGAAACAATGGGGAAATGCTAAATCAAGTTTCCTGGATTTTCATCATCTCAGCGTTTAATTGTTACATTGCTCAAACCAGGTGCCATTCCCCATGCTGGTTTTTTAGTTGTGCTGTAGTTGTCACAATAGTGTGTCATAATACATTGATTATAACAGCACGAAATGCTGTAACCAGTTGGGCTGACACTGTCACTGAGACCTGGATTTCATCATTAAGAAGAAATATACATATAAACAAGATAACTAATTTGCTAAGTCATTATAAAGCACTGTTTGTTTCAATTTTATAGTAACTTTAATTTAGTGTGTAATGTCCTTAACATGTCATCTCATCACCATCACATATCTCTCTTGTATTTTTTTTTTTAAACCCTTTTCTTAAAAGGCAATCTCCCCAGGACTATCATATGCTGAATGAGGATGGAGAACTTTGGCTGGTTTATGAAGGGTTAAAACAAGCCAACAGGTTACCAGACTTCTCAGAATGGTTTTTCTTCTTCATTTGCAACTTCTTTTCTAGCTACCTGTGCCCCTTGCTGTGGGTTTGCTTTATCTACAGTATTTCTATTGCTGTAATGGTTAGAAAAAAATTAATCATAAATTATACAAAAGAAAAGAGTTTCCTCCAACTTAGTCCCCAAACTTTTCTGCGTGTCAAGTTGTATCATTTTAAAAGTTAGGATGGTGGCAAAAGCTATCACAATTCCTAAGAACACTTGCAGCAAGATAGATGGTAAAATACCAGAAGTTCCACAACTGGGGAAGATTTGTGGCCATGTATTTTTTGTCTGCCTTTCTGCTGGAAATCAAAATTAACATCCCTTGGAGTTTTTTAGCCTAAAGAAGTACAATTATTTTAGTAATGATAAAACTATTGTTTGAATATCTTCAGCCAACTCTCAACTTTCAGGTAGCTACATGTCTCACTCTCCTTGTTGTGGCTCAAGTTCAGTAGATTGAACGTTCTTCCCCCGTGTCTCTCCATGCCAGATTTGAACTGTAACACACAAAAAACCCCAACAAGCAGAAGTAATCTTGAGTTCATCGTGGTGCTGTTCAAGCCTCAGAGCAGTCACTGCAGTCTCTGCAAAGATGGCCTGCTGGTCGTGTATCACCTCTTCAGGAAATGCAGTTCTGGCTCCATGGGCACATCTGGGTCTTGTATCCATACACATGGCCCAGACTTCTCAAATGGGTCCTAGTCTTTCACTGGCAACTAATTTGTTAGGTCAGGAGTGCTGATCTTTTTCAATGTACATATTTGGTAGCAGTAGCTACAGGAAGAGGTATTTTGCAATGAATGCTACTAACTCAATTCTTTCCTCTTCTTGTGCTAACAAATCCTACACCTAACATTGTTCTGTAAGCCTGCAAAGGTCTAACTTGGAGCAGGTGTTCTGCAGAGCAGGATGTGAGTGGTTGCACTTCTTGTTTCTTGTCCCAGCACTGTAAAGACAAGAAGCTTTACATTAAATGGCAGAGCAATGCAGGTAAATGACTATTTGCCCTTGCGTGCTTGATGGGTCTGGTTACTAATAAATGTGCCTTCCTTATGCATATTTAAACCCTGCAATGTTGTCTAATTGAACAGTAGTAGTCACTGGTCATGTAATTTCCTGTGTGTATGCAGGAAACAATGAGTCAGAGCACTTGGGCAGTGCTTTGCAAGCAGGAGTAGATCCTGCTCAGGGGAGACTGGTGTGTGTTGCCTCATTTCACAAGAAGAACTGGAGATGTGATGTGCCCCAGGGAAAGATCAAGTCAGTGGCAAGGATAGTATATTGCTCCTGGATCCCAGTCCTGAGTTAGGTTCTGTTGTTAGCCTTTCCTGCACTAATGACAGCCTTCTGCACAATGTTGGTTTTAATGTAAAAATAAGGGTGATTTATGTGCATTTGCAATTAAATGGTTTCTGACTGGACAGAGATAACTATTGCAGGGTTCTAGCTTAAGCATATACACAGTGTTGTCTTCATCTTGCACAGTTTGTTTGATCTGGTGAGAGGTAAAACCTCGGTAAAGCCCCTTTAAAAGCAGCACAACGTGTGAAGACTTAGCAATACCTTTATTGCCACATGTTCTCAGTGGCACCATACACAGTATGTGCTCATTCACAAAGGAAATGCAAAGCAGTGTCACAATTAGTTTCTCTCCACTTTTTGATCATGCAAGCTCCATTTAATTAGAAGGCATACTGAAGGGTTTAAAGAGTACTCTGCCTTTTTCATTTTCCTTTGCAAGCCATGGCTAATTGTTCCTGCGCAGCAGCTAAAGCTTTACACTCCCTCTGAGAATTGGGGATGTAACTTTCTCAGCGTGTTCACGCAACTCTTGCTCAACTTCTTTAGGCTGCTGGAGTCTCAGCTTCAGTCACAGAAGAAGAGCCACGAGAATGAGCTGGAATCACTGCGAGGTGAGATCCAGAGTCTGAAGGAAGAGAACAATCGCCAGCAGCAGCTCCTGGCACAGAACCTGCAGCTCCCTCCAGAGGCCCGCATTGAAGCCAGTCTCCAACATGAGATCACCCGCCTGACCAATGAGAACTTGGTAAGGGAAACAAGTTCTTATCAGTTCTCAGATGGCAGCCTTCTGCAAAAAAGAGCCTGGGTGCAGTGTTTTTTTGTAGGTAAGCTAATGGGCGAGAGAGGCTGAGGATGGCTGATGAAGTAATAATGTTCCAATGAATTTGTTGCAAGTTTGTGGCATGGAGAAAGCTCATGGATCCCAGCTTTCAACTGATGAGTTTAGTTGTTGCTAATTAGAATGATTGATAACCAGGGAACTCATAAAAAAGATTAGTCCCAAGTAGTCTCATTTCCTCTGTAATATATTAGTTTGTTTAGTTTGTTGAAAAACTTTTACATAGTTCTTCAATTATTTAATGTCACTTTTCTTTCCCATTTCCCTCCTTCCTGTCTGAAGCTACACACTGTGTTGTGAGCTCCAGCTGCTCAGTATGTTTTGAAGACAGAAACAGTTCCAGAAAAAGAAACTGGGTTAGAAGTCACTTAGCTAATATCTGGTATTCCTTGTTTACTGTGCAACATTTTTGTATGAAGGAGACAGCGACTGAAAACCTTTCCCTGCAAAGGAGGGTGTTCATTATGTGCAGGCCAGTTCATTTCTGGGGAAATTTTCCAGAGGGCCATGTTGGAGTATTGCTGGTTTATCACTGTTAATTGGTAAAGAGAACCATGCTACTTCAGGAAGAAAAATCCTAATTGTGAGCATCATGGCTTCCTCTAAACAAGCCGAGGTGTAGTCTTTCCTTCTTATGTGTGTCAAAGAAGTAATTGTTGGGCTCTAGTCTTCGTACCAAATGTTTTGAGGAAAGCCTCAGATAATTCAGGTAAGAGATGCTTGAAAACTAATTGAAGGGATGTTGTGTTTGCCTCAGCAGTAGCTGTCTTCTACTGGCAAAGGTAAATGGCAAATGTTTCCATCCCCAACAACTTCCTTCTGCTGCTTAGTCATGTTATGATTTTTAGCCCTTTTTTCCCCCCAAGAGACCTACTCATCCCAGTCTGTGTTCCCAAGACAATGTACAGTCACTTAATTACATCCCAGGTGACTTCTCTTTATTTTCAAATACAGTGAATGTAATTTCACTTGATAAATAGAGACTCATTCCCTAGTATTTCACTTCTGATATTTCAGCTTTGCAGGCAAACTGCAAGTTAGGTACATGCTTCTTTTCCACTTCTAACCTTAGAGTGGAAATAATTTACAGGCTTTCCAGATGTGATACTAGAATTGCAGTATTCACTGCAATCCTGTCTTGTTTGGCATAAGAAAATGTCCTGTCCAGGTGGTCATACTCCAGACTTTCACAGTGTAATTACTGACCATTTTTAAAAGATCTGAGCATTCTGCAACTCGTCTCCATCAGCTTCACTCTGGGACAGGCTGGTGTGAGCACCACAAGTAAGGACTAGGCTACCTAAAAATGAGTCTTGGTCTTATTTTAATCTGATTTATATAGTGCTTATTGAAGTGCTTATCAGTGTCTCAAAGGGAAGGGGAAAAACAATCCTGTGCCTATTTTTACAGTTTTATGAGGAGTTGTATGCAGATGATCCCAAGAAGTATCAATCGTACCGGATTTCACTTTACAAACGGATGATTGTATGTAGACCCCATGAATCCTGTTTCTCTCTTGTCTTGTTTGCTACTTCTGGAGCACTAATTGAAAAGCAGGCTGCCTGCCTTCATCCCTTTCGAAGGAAATCCCCTGCAGAGAGCTTCACAATGCCAATTACTTCCCTCACTGCTTTTTTTGTTAGTCTTAATGTCCTCTGTGTAATCTGTGTCTCTTTTTGATGCACAGTTTTGTTACTAATACAAGTCTTGCACTGTGAGCAAAGCAGTTTCTTTTTGAATACTACTTAATTCTGCCCTGAAAAGGTAGTACATGATTCAAAGGACCAATTTTCAGCACCACTCATTGCTTTAAAACTTTGATACATTTACATTCAGTTCAGGAAAACAGAGGCCTGATCATATAGATACTTATCAAGGTGAATGATGCTTGCAATCCAGTCATGGCCTGAATTTGTTCACAGATCTCTTTACAGTGCTGACATCTAGACTGAACAAATCAATCAGTATCACAATACAGAACCTTTTAATATTTTTTTTTTAAATGCAAAATATGAAGGATAAAATTGGAAGTGATATTTTTGTAATAATTAAAAATAACACATTAAGAGAGCACCATATGTAAGCTTGAAATAATATCATTTATGGGATCCTGCATTTTAACTAGATGTGAAGTCTGTTCCATTTGTTTTAGAGGAACCATAGAAGAAACTTTATTCCTTCTCACATATTTGTTGTTCAGAAATCATATCCCTTCACTGATACAGTCAGAACAGTCTGTTGGACTTACGTGTATTTCAGGATAATTTGTTACATTTGACAATATTGGTTCTTAAAACGATTTCTGTTGTAAAATTGAACACTGCTTTGAATGTGAATCATGCCCTTGATTCTGTCCTTTCAACCAGCCTAATTATCTTACTGCTCAAGTATTATTATATTAGGTTATAAACTCTTTACTACATGATTGAGAGCAATTTTGTGCCTAATTCTAAGTTGTTGGCAACGTTGCACTAATATTTTTCAGTACTTTAGGAGACGTGTAGTTTCCCAGCTGATGCTTTTGATGCAGGGAGCTCGTGGTCCCTTATGTTCTTAGCAATACCATGAAGAATCACTTTGGAAAGAGCATTTTTCTTTTAAGCTGCTTTCAAACCCTTAACCTGGAGTGGGTTCCAGTTTTTCTGAGCTTGAGGTTTTGCTTCCTTTAGAAAAACTTCTCAATTTTTTATTACATGATTATTTTATGAATGCACTGCCATAGGTCACAGAATTATTTGAAGACAGATTTTTGGCAAGTACTCCTTTGAAAGAGAAATACCAGTTTTACTGCTAGAATAAGACTTCTAGGTGCTAGCTGTTGTTCAGGTACATAAAAAAATATGTAAGACCCCAGTTTCAATCCTAGGAAATGTGAGGACAGCAAGCAATGAGGAAATAGCACAGCATCATGTTTGATTGGATGTTTGATTTTTGGTAAATGTGAGTGCAAGTTGTGATCTTTCTACAGATCTCTCATAAAATGGATAGGCCTGAATAACAAGTCTGTCCTGAGGGCATGAGTAAGTGACGCAGAAATACAGGATAGCTGTTAAATAATAAAGCAAATTATTTCCATGAGGCATTTGGAGGAGCAGGGAGGAAGCATTAGGGAGGTATGATTGCACCAGAATGTCTTCTGCCATAAGAACTGACCTAGTTCTGAGTGCCTGCAGAACACACTAAGAGCTTTGCCTTTGTCGTGCTGCACGTAACTTAATATTTGCGATATTTGGCAGCGAACCAGCTTGCAAACCTCAGCCAGAGGATGGCACCACTGTTCAGCTTTCCTCACCCCCTTGTAACTCTTAACACTGGATTTCATCTCTGTCGCAGTTATGGGATTTTTCTTGTGTCTTAATCTTTCTTTCATTTTACCTTTCAGGATTTAATGGAGCAGCTGGAAAAGCAAGACAAAACTATTCGCAAGTTGAAGAAACAGTTGAAAGTATTTGCTAAGAAGATCGGTGAACTTGAAGGTACTTTTTTGTTTTGAGAGAAGGATAAAGGTTTTGGTTTACTCTCTGTGATCCCATTGTCATCATATCCATCTGTCTTAGCAGTCGGGAGGGCACAAAGTCTTCAGGAGCATTAGCTTCTGTTAATTGAGTTCAGAAACAGGAGATATGCCCAGAGCTCTGTGCCTTCCTTTATAAACCTTTATTTGTCATCTTTTAAAGTGGTGACTAAAGGAGATTGATGTTGCTCTGAAGGCAGAAACCTTTTGAATGTAAAGGAAGGTTACTTATGCTGTTTGTGTACTTATAGACAGTATCTGTTTTTATCAAGACAAAAGTAATACTAAATATGAACCAGGCAGAAATAATTTACCCAGTTTTCCTTTGTGGATTTCTGTATCACTGGAGCCAAGAATGCTGAGACTGTCTTTCTCTGCCTGAGGTTTCTCTTCAGAGCTGCTGGCCACATCTGAATATGAGAATGCTGAGACATAGGCTAAGCTAATTTTATTTTTATGAGCATCACAGTCAATGCCCTTAGGACCTTAACACTGGTGAGAGGGACAGCTGCTTATGTCTCTGCATAAGTAAAGTAATTTTAGTTGCTAAAAGCAATTAATAATGTTATAAAGTTGAAGTATGAATTTGTTTTTAAATAATCCTGGTCCTGACCTTTAGAAGCTTTTAATGGTCATCTGCTTTTTCCAGAGCCAGGCTTACTGCCTGATGAGTGGAAATCAGTGACTGTTTGGTCTTCAGTGTTTCCACACCTGAAAAGAACAGCGATAACACGTTAAACCTGGTCTAGCAGGAGTATATTATCCTTTACACAGTGGCAGCTCTTCTTGAGCTCCCATTTGGATTTCTGCTTTTTCCATCTAGTTTGCCAGGTGCACACATTTAGGACGTTCTTCCAGGATGGGTGGTGGCTGTAACTGTGTGCAGCTTTGAGGGCTGGGAGAAGAGGATGTAGCTTTCCTGAAATGAAACCAAGTTTTTGTTTTCAAAACCAAACATGCATCCTTATCAGGTGTAGGTGTTGAATGTGATACTGTGAGGCACTATATGCAAGGTGGATGTTTCATACATCCTTTTAAAAGGTTACTTTAAACTGAGTTTGTTTTTAAAAAGTCTTTCAATATTGTTTGGTTACTATTGTGAAAAAGGTCACAGAAGTATTCATAAACAATACAGAGTGGGAAAATGTTTCTGTAAACCTAGTTTTGTTTTGTGTTTAGTAGCAAGTTAACTTAGAAAGATGTACTAGGTCTGGTTGGGATGGAGTTAAGTTTCTTAATAGCAGCCTGTGTAATGCTGTGGTTTGGATTTCTGGCTAAAACAGTGTTGGTAACACACAGGTGTTGCTGAACAGAGCTAGCACAGTGTCAAGGTTTTCTCTTTTTTTTTTTTTTCCCACTCTGCCCTCTCAGTAAGCATGGGGAGGGCACGTGGGCACACAGCCAGAACAGCTGAGCTGACCTGGCCAAGGTGATATTCCACATTCCATCCCAGCTAACGTCAGCAGCCAGGAGAGGGTGTTTTACATACAAGGTAGCTGTTGTTTGGAGGCTGGCTGGGCATCAGTCCCCCTGCCCCTGCGAAGGGTTTTGAGTGATTGCCTCTGCTTTGCTTCCCCCCATCCTTTTCCTTTGCCTGTTAAACCATTTTTATCTTGACCCTCAAGTTTTCTCTCTCTTGCTCTTAGTGCTCTTTCCCCTGCCCTGCCGGAGCCAGCAGGGGTGCTTGGCTGCTGCTCGAGGTGAACCTACCTCGACAGGCAACAAACACCAAGCAGGAAAAATACTGGCATTTTGCAGAACAATTAATGGTGACCCTTACAGTATTAATCTGGGATTAAGTGATTAACAGCTATCACGTCACCTTTGTGCTTTTATGGGATAAAATCCAGGAATCAGCAGTAGGTCTGAATTAATGGATGCTATTCACACACTTCCACTCTTCTTCTAAAGAAGACTGCCACCCTGAGACACGTGTATCAACAACTGCCTCTTTGTTTAATGTTGACAAGTGTTATCCTGAACCAAAGAAAACATGTCTTAGTCCTATATGCTGCAGTTTTTCTTTTGAAATGTCGTAGTTTCCTTTGTTTTGCATTTGTTTCACTAGAAAATTTCCCTTTTTTTTTTTTTTTTTTCACTCCCCTCTGAAGTGGGCCAGATGGAGAACATATCACCTGGACAAATCATTGATGAACCTATTCGTCCAGTTAACATTCCACGGAAAGAAAAGGACTTCCAAGGCATGTTAGAATATAAGAAGGAGGATGAACAAAAACTTGTCAAGAATCTTATTTTAGGTGAGCATCCTTCTCATTTGCAGCCTCCTCTGCTCCCACACAGTCTGAAAAATAAAATATAAGAACACAGAATTTGCATGATGAAATGGAGTATTTTTGGTTTCAACAGCACTCATTTTGTCTAAAATTCCTAAATGTCTTTTGTTAATCTAATCATCCTTCCTGATGAATATGCTACATACTAAAGCATCTGCATATTTTTAGCAGGCAATTATAAGATACGTATGTGTTACTATTGTATGTTACTCTTAACTGGGGAGGTTGTGGGACCTCATCTGACATCTTCCAGCGACTTTACACTTTACAAACCAATGTGTGCTTGTTTTTCCCAAGAGCTGAAGCCACGTGGGGTAGCTGTCAACCTGATTCCAGGACTACCAGCATACATTTTGTTCATGTGTGTTCGCCACGCCGACTACCTGAACGACGACCAGAAAGTGCGGTCGTTGTTGACTTCCACTATCAATGGCATCAAAAAAGTGTTGAAGGTTAGTTAATCTGCTTGGTTTAGAAAAAACATTCAGATTTACTCTTGATTTTACGTCAGGGGAGCAAGGAAAAGACTTTCCAAAGAGTGTTGAAGGTTAGTTAGTCTGCTTGGTTTAGAAAAAACATTCAGATTTGCTCTTGATTTTACATCAGGGGAGCAAGGAAAGAGGCTTTCAATTAAGTGGCTCTGAATTTCTGATCAATAAACTCGTAAGTCATAAACAATTGTTTTAACAAGCAACAAATTACAGTGATAGCATTTGATCCACACTGTACCACAGATGCTTGGAATTTGTGGAAAAAGAACTACTTCTTTGTATTTTGAATAGTCTTCTCTGAAGGTGTGCCTATAAAGTTTTGGATCTAGTCAAAGTTTGCATAGTGACACTTTGTTTATCTTCTCCAGAACACTTAATTAAAATGCTTCATTTGCAATTTTGGTTCACAGATTTCCTCATTTACTTCATCTACACATTCCACTGATGATATTATGTTGCTGCCTGAAGTGTTTGCCATGAGTTGGCAAGGGCAGTAGGCCAGGGGCATCCTGAAGGCATTATTAAGACATAAATATGCTTTATCCTTCATAGAGTTTTTTTAATTTTTTTAAATAAGACAAGTGTGCTCAAAAAGCAAGCATTTAGTAAAGCTGAATGCTTTGAAAAAATGTTCAGTAAACAGTCCTGCAGGAGCTTAGATATTCATAGGAATTTTTGGACTTTTTTTAAGGGAATGGAGTGCACACTGTAGAAGTCTAGAAATGTTAATTACTCAGCATATACTAGCTTCATTCCTCCTACCAGTCTGTTTTTAATTTTGTGTCATTTTGTCTTCAGAAAAGAGGTGATGACTTTGAAACGGTGTCCTTCTGGCTGTCAAACACCTGCCGATTTTTGCACTGCTTGAAGCAATATAGTGGAGAAGAGGTAAGTAGTGCCCCTGCTCTGCCTTCTTTGGCTCTACAATTATTGATGTGAGCACTGCTCTTTAACAAATTCCTGTAGTACATCAAAATCTAGTCAAAGTCTCTTAAAACAGGTGATGACATCAGAGGAAAGCAGGGGAAGATAAGATTTGAACCTGCTTTCCTTTCCTGCAGGCAGGGCTGCTACCATTATGTTGTTTAGTAATGATTCTCTGAACTTCCTATGAAAAAGTCTGTTTTAAGCCCTTTAACCAAGTTAAACCTTTAACCTTTAACCATATGGCCAGGTGAGAATGCTTGTGTTGAGGAGGAAGAGTTTGTTCCTGTGTCAGATCCTTGAAGATTCAGGTCAAGGAAGCAGATGTTGCACTTGAGAAGCAAATCCTAGCATCAGCCTCAATCAGAACAACTTCCAATTTAAAGTTTTGGGGGGCTGTGACTATTCTTTTGAAAGCATTATTTGTCAGTTGCATGAAGGAATATAAATACTGGGTTTGTGTAGTATTTTTGTATTCCATTGCAGCATTCATTTCTGTTATTTTATTAATTCAGGTGTTTATGAAGCATAATACACCTCGTCAGAATGAACACTGCCTCACTAATTTTGATTTAGCTGAATACAGACAAGTACTGAGTGACTTGGCTATTCAGATCTACCAACAACTTGTCCGAGTCTTGGAAAATGTTCTGCAACCAATGATTGGTAAGTGGAATTCCTGAAGCTTCACACTGTAGTAGTATCAAAAGGAAAATTGTGGTGGTGGTAATATCCTGTATCTTGCAGTTCTTGTGGTGTTCTGTTCACAGAAGACAAGGACTACAATGAACAGGTTGGATTAGACTAAAAAAACTGTGGGTGGTTCTTCTGGCAGGGACAGAATAAATTGATTTACTTTATTCATAAATCATGCATTCACATGAAGAAACTTCTGGTCTGTATTTCTTGCCCTGTCTGTTGGGAAATATCCCATGGAAAAATCAGACTAATTACAAGAGAACTCAAAAACAAGTATGGACAAAAATAGTTGGTTGTTATTATGGACAGCAATTAGCAATGAAATAGCAAGCAGTGATGAAACTCACACTCAGAGAGGTTCTTTTCATTAAAAGTACTTTTAATTTTTCTTGTCAGATTTCTCACGGAAATTTTCATTCTGCTTTCCAATCATAACATTCAGAAAAATGGAGCAGGTCTTAGTTTGCTGCTGCTGCTGCTCATATGGCCATAAGAGGAAAAAAGTATTTTGCTGAGCTAGATTAGACCTTCCTTTCAAGCACACATGCTGGAATCTTTATAAAAGCCCTCTAAGTTTAGATTTTGCAGAACGTGGCAGGACACAGAATTACTGGAAATGATGGCAAAGTGTGACTAGCAGAAAGCCCAGCCTGCTCTCTCTCTGTAAATGCTCTTTTTCTGCCTCGCACAAGATGCCTGCATATCAGCAGTTTTCAGTCGCTGCAATCATGTTTTCATTCAAACCCAGTTTCAGGAATGCTGGAGCATGAGACTATCCAAGGTGTCTCGGGGGTGAAACCGACAGGGCTGCGGAAGAGAACATCCAGCATTGCTGATGAGGGCACCTACACGTTGGACTCCATTATTCGGCAGCTGAACTCCTTCCATTCAGTGATGTGTCAGCATGGAATGGATCCAGAGCTGATCAAACAGGTTGTCAAGCAGATGTTCTACGTCATTGGGGCCGTAACACTTAATAATCTTCTCCTGCGCAAGGACATGTGCTCGTGGAGCAAGGGAATGCAGATAAGGTGGGAGAACTCATTTTATGCTTCTCTTGAATGTGTTGCTGAAAATGTTAGTGAACTCCTGATGCTGCTGACCCTCATTTTGATGGAATAGCAGATACATTTTGAGTATTAATTTTGCTGCACACAAACAGCTGAGATGCTGTTAAACTGATTTTGTGAGGTTCCGTTAAAAAGGTTAACTTAGGTCAAATCCTACCTGGCTTCCAAGGAGATGTAGTAGAAGCAAAACAGAAGTATTTAATCATTAAGTAGAACTTGCAATTGTAGGTGCAATGTTGGGAGTTGCTTTCTCAGCTTTTAGAGAAGAATGGCAAACATCCCTGCTGCATTCTTTGCGTGCTGGTGGCAAAGCAGGTACCTCCAGTGTTCACCCACACTGTAGTTTGCTGCATCCTGCAGTAAAGCCATTGTGCTATTCCTGCATTTGCCAGCACTTCCCTAATGCATTCTACTGGCATATGCCAGGAAAAGTAGCCCAGGCTTTCCAGTCCCTCAAGTAACCTTGAAAACCCTCTCTCTACATTTGCATGGACAAAATCTCATTTGTCTTTCTTCTTATACTTGTCACATCCCTGCAATTAATAGGAACAGAAACAAATGGGGAAAGCTAGTTAGTGGAAGTCTTTGGCTGTAGTTTCTAGCTGTTTTGAAACACAATTTCTTGCTTCAATCAAAAGGAAACAGCATCAAGACAAAATCACAAGACATGACAAGTGTGAAATAAAAATATGCAAGGACAAAGAAGAAACACTGGGAAAGAGAAACTGCAGATGCTTTTCATTTAACCATAATCAAGCATTAACTTCTTGATGCTCATACCTCTTTGTACAGATACAATGTGAGTCAACTGGAGGAATGGCTACGTGATAAAAATTTGATGAATAGTGGGGCTAAAGAAACACTGGAACCCCTTATCCAGGCTGCACAGTTGTTGCAAGTAAAAAAGAAAACAGATGAAGATGCAGAAGCCATTTGTTCAATGTGCAATGCACTGACTACTGCCCAGGTAAGCAAACCTTCACCGTCTGTTCTGCTGTCACTTTTGAGCAGTTCCCTGCTCTGTTGGTGTTTGCTGTGCCTGTCTACACTCCTCTCACACATGGATCCAAGATTTCTTACTTATTTACAACTAGAACACATTAAGTGGGAGGGATAAAAAAAAAAAGACCAGGCCTTTTTGAGGTCTAATGTTCAAGATAAATTTTGAATAAATGAGAGGAAGCTGAATAGATTGTGCAGTGTGTAGTATCCACAGCCTCTCGGTTTGTGAAAATCCTTAGAGGAAACTCTTCACTCAGAGATGTCTCTGTGCTCCAGTCAGCTCTGCCTAGGATACTAGGAAATGATCTTCCTGCCATCAGAGTTAGTATCCAGTTAAGGTATCAGGCAGTTCAGACAGAGCTGTTGGCTCAGGGTCTGCAGACAGACTGAGCTTAGTGCAGCCATCAGCCTCAGCAGGCTGAGCCAAGTGTATCTCAGTCAACAGCTCAAGACTTCTATTTATGAAAGCTTAGATTTTTGTACAGATAAGTTGCACTTTTTTTAAACCTTTTTTAACATTCTACTTTTGCATAGAGCTTGTACAGGAAAAAATGGATCCAGCCGTCTTCGATGACTACTGAACATTCCCATCAGGAAAAGGAAGAAACTTGTTTCACAGTGGTGTCAGCACTAGGGCTTGCATTAATATTGTTGTTTTGATTTAGTAATTCACACTGCTGGAAGATCTGTTAGTTTAGTACTGAAATGAGGAGTTAGTGTTCCACATGCTTCAAGTGTTTTAATTTTTAAAAGGAGTGTTTTTTTCAAACAAGAATCATGTGATAAACAAATATTTTTTAAAAAAAAGTTTTAGAAGTGTAACTCACATTACTATTTAAAATCTTTGTAATGCAGTTCTTTCCTTTGGTGTTTTTATTCCTAGATTTTAGATAAATAGGTCACTCTCTTGAAAAACAGTCATAAGACTCTCTTAAGTGGAAAATATGGAAGGTCAAAATTAGGGTGAGAAATACAGGATGTTTCCAGGGGGCGTAGGAACACACAGTTACTTATCTGATTTTTTTATAGTTTGGTATTTTCCACACGATGTAGAGTTCCTAACTCCAAAGAACACTTGTTCTGAAGGAGCAATTTTATAACATAGCATTAAGCAGGTGATAGAATTCTGTATGGCTCAAAAAAACCAAAAATAACAAATAGTTGTAAAGAATGTCTTTATTTAAAAATAGCTAATTGAAAAAGTGGAGTTTTAGTAACCATGGATGCATCTGTTGATTCTTCAGTAAAATGAACCTAAGAATGATTGTTCTTCTTCACAGATTGTAAAAGTTCTGAATTTGTATACTCCAATTAATGAGTTTGAAGAGAGAGTCTTGGTATCATTTATACGTACAATACAGGTATGACTATACTTTTTCCTCAAAAATCATTTGACTATTTCTAAGAAACCCTCTGTAAGCCGAAATAGCTTGTGTCCTGAAATACATTCAGGAATCTGAAGTAAACTAGGCTTTTTAGCTATGCTGAAAATGTGATGTCAGCCTTCAGATTTTATGCAATCAAATTTACTGTCTCCAGACTTGCATGAAAATTTTAGTTTCCCTGTCAGTACGTATGAGATGTTTGGAAGGTGAGAGTTTTTTGTGCTTATCCATCTTTGTGTATGTAAACACACTTGTATGCCAACTTTTAAAGTGGTAATATTTATATAAGCAAATCTACTTTTGTCGGAGCTGTGTCTGCATGAGAAGCACCAGCTGCTTTGAAAAGTGAGGCCTGTGTTCATTCCAGAGTTCTTCATTTAGCCCTTGTAGTTTCATGTATTGATGAAAATGAAATGTTTTGAAAACTCCAAAGAAAACAGCCAGTAGAGCACAATCAAATAAAATAATATCTTTCTGGTCTGTTAGAAATCAAATTACATTACTAGCTGGATAAGGGAGATTGGGAAGATAGAACTGTGATGAAATTATAATTCCACTTACTGGAAAGATGCAGTTACCAGATTGTGAGCAAATTCATCATTTTGCAGGGAATTTAAGTTATCTCTAGGTTGCATAGTTAGAGGAAGACATGCAGAGCCTGAAATGGCAAAAGTAAGTACAGTTTAATGGCACAATTGTTGCCAAGGTGTCTGGTCAGGTTAGCACAGGTGTGTGTCTGTCACAGGTGTCTGGAAGTACAGGTGAAATGCCACCGCTTTGCAAGATGCTGGGTATCAATGAAGAGGCTAAATGCTAATCCAATCACTTTCTTATCTTTGCAGATGCGTCTGCGAGACCGGAAGGACTCTCCTCAGTTGCTCATGGATGCTAAACACACTTTTCCTGTTACTTTTCCATTTAATCCCTCCTCCCTGGCATTAGAAACCATTCAGATCCCAGCCAGCTTGGGCCTGGGCTTCATATCACGTGTCTGATCCCAAGAACGTACCATCAGTGTTATATGGAGAATCAGTTGCCTGACACCTTTACCTGTTAACGCGTAGTGAGCCCCTGAAAATACATGTTCTGAACAACCAGTCTGTATGTGCCCAGATCTGTAGTAAAAGTAGCTGGAAAACTACCCAACAGCACCACAGATTGAAGGCTGATAGAAAGACGTGCGTTTGTGTTCGGTCGTTGCGTTTCTGAAGACATCACTGATTCATACATTTCCAGAATATGGAAATTGGGCTTGGACAGATACTGTGTCTTCAGCTCTCTAGAGACATTTTTAGATCTTTAGTAAACGTATTTAAATAGTGTAAATGAAACTCCATATGTAATCTTCTCATAGGCAGGGACCAACAGGGACAGTCACAGTCCTGAACATGGAAGACTTGAAAGTAGAGTGTTTTGCAGTAGAACACAGGGTCACTTGGGAGCCTGTTACATTGAATTTGTAAAAACTGGAATGGAGAAACACAAATTGGCAATATATGAAAAGATTTCTTAAACCACTTCCTTATTTATGTCAGTTTGGCATAAATTGTAGTGATAACTCTTACAGCGCACTCTATGCTATAACTTAGGTGATCATTTGTTAGTACTGTGGTTTACCAAGCATACTAACTTGCTGCTGCCTATTGTGTTCTTTTAAATGTATCATAGTATCATACTAGGCACTAAAAATAAAATATTTTGGTTTTTTGTTGTCAACCTTATTTACAGTCCAATGCACTCTGTCATTTTAGCTGGGTTTTTGCAAGTGGTATCTAACACCTGTAGAGGAAAATGGTAACTAAGCACAAGTAGCACACTGGAAATTACATGTTTAGTTATTTTTAAAAGTAGCTAGCTAAAAATACAGGATCTTGAAGCAATCTATCAGAATTCAAAAATTATTTTAGTATTTATTTAGATTTTGGAGTCTGTCTAATGTTCTTTTTTGTTTGTAGACCCTAGAGATGACTGTGTGTATTTTGAGTATAATCTTTGGTTTGTTGCCATTTAAAAAAAAAACAACAAAACACAACAGGTGTTCCTACAGGAATTGGTGAGGAAAAACTTCAATAGGAAATGTCTTCAGTACCCAAGGCCCTAGTTCTCTGAAATCCTGACTAACAAGGATGTCAAGGAGGTTTTGACTAGGATGCTGTAATTTCACTATGATTCATGTTGATTTAATGGTGGGAGATCCAGAGTGCATAATGACAAACTGAGTTATTTTGGTTATTGCACATTTTACTGGAAAGAATTTTCTGTCTCACACAGGCTGGATCTGCTTTATAGGGTTCACATTCCACTGTGCAACGTAAGTGCAGAAGCCTTGCTTAAGGTTCCAATTCTGAACTTGAAAACAGGTAGTTGCTGGTGTATGGCTCAAATATACATATTTAAAAAAAAAGCCACACACATTGCTCAATTGCATTGTGCAATATTTTTACTGTATTATAATAATTAGCAACTTAGCATTAATTTCTTTTAAAATATTGGTAAGTAATCAAGATAACCAGGTACACTATTAGACTATTTGGTACTAATCTGTTTGCCTGCAAATTCACAGGAAAAAAAAATGTGCTGTTGAGCAGAGTGAAACAAGCCATTTTTGTTTTACATCAGAGGTAGCCGTGCTGTTGGTGTGGTCACCAACACCCGGTCGTAAAGACAACAGAAGCTTTGTCAGTATCATCTTAAGATGCTCATGTCATCTTCTTTTCAAAGGTGTATGCCTCATGGTACGTTTGATGGATCATGCCAGTACTTCCTAATTCTGCATTGCATCAACATTTCGAATGATCTTTGCTGAATGGTTTGGATGGTTTTCCTGTGCATGGTGTACAAAACGCTCTGGCTGAAATGTTACTTCATTTCTGAAACTACAGCTGCCATTAAGTGGCTCCAGATAAGGTTCAGTGTAGTTTCCAGGCTGTTAGGGGTACTGTGCTTGTGAGAATGTAATAGGAAAGCCTTTGCATCCAGTCACGAGCTTAGGAAAGAAAATACATGAGAACATGCTGACCTTCACATTTTTTCTTCTATTGAAAAGCAAACAATTGGCATTACAGTATGTTCATACTGTAGATCAGGAAATGTATCCACTACTTAAGCATTAGTGTATTAAAATGTATGCCTAAATGTATTTTTGTTTATTTTTTTAAGTTTGTTTACCTGTAAAAAGCCTTATTGTATCTTGTTTCCTTAAAAAAGTAGTGTTTAGTAATTTATAGTTATCCTTAAACTCAGTGGTTTGACTGGTATTACTTTTATATCACATTAAAAGTATATGCTGCTTGTCATGTTTTAAAGGAAAATATTTTCAAGTTGAAGTAGATGTGTAATTGGTAAAATTCATCTAACATTTTACATGACAGTATTTTACATGCACTTTTCAGAAAGTAAAATTTTAGTGTCAGTGTATAATACTATCTTTCACCATAGGACTAACATCTCTAACCATGGAATATAAAGTAGAATTATTTTAACGACTTTATTTTTCCTTTGAATCATTATTATGCTCTTTTAATGTGGACATATCTTTTATATTTTTATTTATTATCTATTGCTATGATAGATTTTATCAGATGCTGGAAGAATACTAGTCAGTGGCCCCTTAGAATTATATACAGTTATTCTAGAGATTTTTGCACAATAATTACCTCATTCAGTTTGGTGTATTTTTATTCCAGTGATCATTTTATTCTGATGTTTAGCACACAGTCTTCTATCCAAATTTTGGAAAGCTGTTTCTCAGACTGCAGTCTGGGGTGGAGGGTGAATGTGCTTAAGTCCGTTCAATGTGGTTATTCTATCTATCCCAGGAAAAAAAACATAGGATCAACTTCAAAGTTGAAAAGTGGATTGATATCCAAAAACATTTCTTCCCAACTTGGAAACACCAGCATTTGCAATTTGAAGGTCTGTGTAATTTGTGATTCAAACTGAACATATTTCAAATACCGTACAAAAAGCATTAAGACACACTTAGGTTTTTTAAGATGCTGATACTTCATGTGATAAATAAAAGCCTTTAAACATAGGTTTTCACTCAATGCCACTACAGTACATAGATGAAAACCAAAACACTGTCAGAATGACCTGAGCTCTGATCTGTTGTAGTGTCTGATGTTGTACTTAGTAAATGTATGCATCATAAAAGCTGTAGCCTAATAGCTCTCACTGGAAAATGTCCAAATAAAAATACAGCTGTAAGACTTTTCTGTGGATGGTTTTGTTTGCTGGGTTGGTGGGTGGTTGGTGAGCTGGGTGGTGGTCGCTGGGGTTCCTCTGCCTTCGGGGCAGACTTGGTGCTCCCTGCCAACACAGTTAAAGTCTGGGGGTTGTGCAGGTGCACACCCAGACACCAGCAGTGTGCCAGATACACACCAGCAGTGTGCCAGACACCAGCAGTGTGCCACAACCTGCCGTGCAGATGGGAAAAGATTTTGTTCGCCATAACCTGGTTCTGTCAGGGTGTTTTGTCAACCAATGTGAACTGTTACTGAAATGTAGAATGAGGGTTTGTACTTTGCTGAAGTGTTGTTTTCTGTGCCATGACAGCCCTTGGCTCGTGGGCTCTTCTGTGCATTCACCTGCCCAAACCTGGCACTGTTTATCCAAGCCTTCTTCCTCATCAAGGTTATTTAAACATAGTACCTGTTGGTGCCCTAACCTGAACTAATACATTCCGAGTGGTTGTTTATCCTCACTCTAACTTTGTTAAAGAAACTCCTTCATGCTGCCTTCCAGGAAGAGGATGAATGTTGCTGTTGTTTTTCCCTACCCGCTCAGGAATGGCTCCCCCGGTGATCCCTCAGGCAGCTGGACTGGCCGTTATTCCCAGATAGACCCAAGACCCCGGCTTTGCCAGGATCACCCTAAGACCTGTACCTGTGTCTGGTAACTGGGACCGCTGCTCGCCCACGCTGCACTGACACCCGGCACTTGCCCCGCACCTGCGGCAGCGCTGCGGGCTCCTGCGGGCTCCGGGGGGACAGCCCGGGAC